GACTGCGGAGTCATCGCCTCACCCTGCAGGATCCTCCCTCAGTTCCCGAGGAGGTTGCCGTGTTTGCCGTTAAGCCACAGCTGGTAGGGCCCAAGACGGTGGAGCTTAAAAATGTTTTGCTGTTTAGGAAAAAGAAGTAGGTTGGTAACCTGAAGTTCATATATCGGTACGTAAGGGGCAGGAATGGCGCCCGGGGAAGTACAACAGTCTCGGTTAACTTTGTAAAGTTTCCCTGAGATTGTAAACAAGGGGGTTTTTTTTCCCCCCTGAGCCTTACATATAACTTGAGATATGGTGGTTATAGAATCATAGAATTGTCGGGGTTGGAAGGGACCTTAAAGATCATCCAGTTCCAACCCCCTGCCGTGAGCAGGGACATCCCCCACTGGATCAGGCTGCCCAGAGCCTCATCCAGCCTGGCCTGAAAATCTCCCAGGGATAGGGCTACCACCCCCTCTCTGGGCAACCTGTGCCAGGGTCTGACCCAAGGTTGCAGTGTCTCACAGGTTCTGTGTGCCCAGGACACTGTTTGGGTTTTGTCTCTGTACTGTCACACTGCGGTGCCAGAGCTGGCTGAAGGGTGCAGTCTTAAATGAACGCTTCTTATCACAACCTATTTTGGTTTGCCAAACTCTTTCTAATAGGCTGAGTTCAAGGAAACTCCAAACGAGTCCAAGGAGACTGGACTGTCTGCATCAGTTATGCAGAGAGACTGGGCTGTTAAGGAAGTAGGGTTTGTGATTTCAGTGACACTACAGTGGCTGCCACATATGAAGAAGATATAATTTCAGAACTACTACTGCTTGGCATATAAGTGCTGGATAAAAAAAACAAAGTGTTCTTGAGTTTTTGGTCAGCTGTAATAAGGTTCAGTGCTTTACTAGAGGGGAAAAGCAGGTTAGAGTAACACATTTCACTTGAAAGTGGTTGTCTGTTTTCTTATTTGTGAATGGGGACATGTCCCTTAAGTCTCTGGCAGTAGAACAACACTATTCTACTTGTTGAAGCTCAGATACAGTTGGCATTGGATGATACATGTATATTAGTATTTCAGATAAAGGCTGTGCTCTTCAAATGAGTCCCCGGTCATGTTTACCTGCTTTGTGTTAGTTCACATCCCACTGTGATCTGGGAGCATGGGAACTCTCTTCCTTTTGGAAGCTAAAACTACAAGGTGCACTTCAGTTGTGAATGGCTGATGTCCGTCTAGACAAGAGCTAGTATAAAATAAATACACAAAAATATGTGTAGTGTGGATGTTGGCTTCTCAGGGACTTTATTTCTAGAGAGTTGCTGCTTGTTCTGTATTTAGTTGTTGATGTAGACACAGCCTGAGCCTACCGTCAGCAGAGCTGGCAAATTGGATGCAGTTGGAGCACAACAGCAGCAGGGATTGATCCCTAAGCTTTCAGACCTATAACTGTGACAACTGTTGCCTAAGCTGCAAGACTCAGGTTTCATAGCTTAAAGGCTGTAGGTCAACCACAAGGAGAACAACAGTAAGCAAACGCCCCACGTGGAAGAATTGTCGGCATTGTCAGGAGCTTTTTTGAAAAAAAAATTTCAGTAGTTTCAATTTTCAATTCAACCATTTCACTTACTAACTAGCTCCCAAACTCAGTATGTTTTAAAAGTGCTATAGCAGCAAAAGGATAAATAGTTTTCCTTCTTGTAAGGGTGTAATGACTTAAAATGAATAAAATAATGCTCTGTATTTGCTGGAACAACTGGGACTTGTTGGCATTTGTTGTTACTTTTCACCTCTTCTGTTCACCTGGCTTTTGTAGCAATATGATGAATGGATGTTGTGCTTGTGTTATCATCACTATATTTGAAATCTCCTGTTCTGTCTTGGTTTTTTTAAAATATTGTGATTTGTTTTGCTCTCTTAATCTTTCTCTGAAGTCTTCCAGTATGATAATTATTAGCAGCCACTCTAAACATGGAAAACACTGAAGTTTTGCACATTCTTTTTGTATCATCCTGTTCCCCAAGATGCTGGTGAATCGAGTGACTGGTGTCTCTGTGTGTTAAGTAACTAAAATGGGTTATGGGGATAAGCTGGACAACTGATTGCTGCTGCTGTGCCTATTATTTTTTTTTTGTAAACTTTGAGTTTGTTTTCCACCTGTTGCAAATTAGGAAGGTTTCCACTTGCATCACTTTATTACAGCTTTTAGTTTCAAGTGTTCTATGTTTCGAGGTAGTTTCAGTGTCATGGCTGAAAAAAGCTAATGAGAAAAACTTAAAATGTGTGTAGGTAGCAAAAATGCTTTTTAACAAGTTTTATAAATGCTATGTATTGCCAGCAGCTATGTTAGAGTAATTCCCATTTTTGACTTTCATGTGGATCAGTCCTCTTTTGTGTTAAAGGGAATCCAGGTGCCTAAGCTGATGAGTTACATATTTCTGGCTTGGAAACTAGTAGCTGTTCTCATTTACTCAAAACAAGCCCAACTTAAAAAGCTTATTAGAATTGCATCTGTGGTGTGTGTGGAATCCACTGAAAATTGCAAACTTGCTTTCTAGAGCTTGTCTTAATCTTTTTTTTTTATGCAAAGATTAACATGTGTGAAAGTCTGTACAGGACCAATCCTTGGAAAAGCACGGCTGGGGTCTTGCAACCTTGTGCCAGCAATTGCAGCTTAAAAGCTTTTTGTCAGTTCCCTCCTGTACCTGTTCATATTGCAGCATCTGAACAAAGCTCAGATTAGTTAGTTCTGGTTCTTAGAGTTTGGGATTGACTCTGGGCCCTGGGCTCGGTGCTTTGCAGGACTTAAGGCAACAGGAGTCTTGTCAGAGCGATGACCGTGCGCCAGGTTAACCTGTTCAGAGGAGCAAATGCGAGCTGTGTTTGAATTGTTCTCCTTGAAAACTTGTTTCTGATTTTTGTTTTAGACATGGGAAAATCCCTTTCTCACCTGCCGATGCACACAAGCAAGGAAGACGGCTGTGACGGAGTGGCGCCGTCTGACAGCATGAGGAACAGGTTAGTTCACTCCGAATCGCACAACGACGACAGCAGGTGCGGGGACGTTTCGCAGTTTCCCTACGTGGAATTTACGGGAAGAGACAGCGTCACCTGCCCGACTTGCCAGGGAACAGGGAGAATTCCACGAGGTAAGTTTGCTTTATTTCTTTTTTGAACCTATACATTTACCTCATAACCATGTGCAGTTGTAACTAGAATAATCTGTAACAAACTATTTTCCTAGTCGAGATGAAGTTTTTTCATCTTTTTTACTCTTTAGCATTGAGTGTTCTAATTGCACTAGATGAATGAAACATAAATTGAGTTAGCTTTGGCTGTTGCCTGTTGGGTCTTTTCTTGTCTCTACAATTCTAATTCCTTGCTTCTCAGCTTTAATTTTGCTTGTAACCTTAGTTCTTGCAAGTTGAATTTCCAAACCTTTATTTCTGTGATACTTCTACTGTATCTTTTTTTAGCTACCTATTTAAAACTGTTTGAATTAATATATAACTTTGCAAAAATAGCTGCAGATACAGTTAAAAAGTGTCACTAACCATGGGGAGAAGAAGAGCATAGGTCTGTGTATATGATAGTTGACGTATTTTTTAATTTTTTAAAATTCCTAAAAATAAGTTTACTTATCTCAAAACTTGGGAAGATCAATGTCCCCATCCCACCTCCTCCAGCCCATGCTTCCTGATCATATTGGCATGAGGGAGGCAGCCTAGTAGAAATAAAAGCTTTGTAACTGGTCCTGTTTTTAAAGAACAAGTTACCATTCTGAAAACAGATGTGAGGGGGTTAACAGCTGACGTGATGTTCAGTTCTTGTTGTTATGTAATGCTTTGGATATTGTTCAGAGTCAGAGGAGAATCTCCTGTTTATTTAAAGCCACACACTGAACACCAAATTCTAGAAATGTTTTCTTGGAAAAACACAATTCTAAAACATAATGTACTTCTGCAGAGTGACAGTGTGTCTGGGATGTCCCTTGTCTGTCTTTTCCTGAAAAATAACACTTTCACTACAGATTATGGGGTTTTTTAAATCTTAAACCCTGCACATACCAAACATCATTCAGGTCCATAAGTTCAAGCCACTGTTGTTTCAGGTTCATCACCTGGAAGAGCTGTCTGTAGGTTGTTGGTATTCAAGGCATTAGGTATTTTTTAAATGGTGTGGGGAAACCTGAGAACTTGCTTGATGTGTTCTGGTGAGGAGTTGAAAACTTCACCTGTGCTACAACAGCTTTTACCTGATCACGTATAGCAAACTTTCTTGCCTCTCCTGGGACAAGTGGCCCTTGTTTTCCTTTCCCCTCCCTTTGTCCCATGTGTCCCTGGCAGGCAGAGGGCACCAGCTGGGAGCTGGGGACACGTGATCTGGCTGCTCAGCATTAGTGTCCGTGTCCAACAGTTTTATTTACTTACTGCCTCTGTTCTTTGCTTTTACTTTTAACTGAAACATTCTGCTTTATTACACTTGTATGTGATGAGCCACCTGAATAGCTATTTAGAAACTCATCTCTGAAAGGGTAAGGCAGGATACGTGAAACTGAGCAAGGAGCGAGTGGCAAATCCGGTGGAACTCTTCTCCAACATAGAGTTTTGGATGTGAAAGAGCTGATTTTGACCAGCAGCTCGAGGAAAATGGGCCGATGTCTGTGACACACTGTCTGTGCGTGTGCTTCAGTCAGATTAGGTTCTGGTAGAGTTCACAACTACTTCTGTCTCAGCTGGGCACAAGTGGCACGGAGCTCAGGATACTTAGATGATTGCAAATAGAATAGATTCGTGTGTTACCTGTTAAACTTCATACCACAACGTATTCTTCAAGTACCTCTGAATTCAGCAAATTCGAGGTGTGGAAAAGCTATGCAGCAAAAAATTATCTCAACCAAAAGACTATGGAGATGGAAGTTTGGTTTGCTTGGTAACTCGAAATATTTATTGGCAAGTTTTACTCATAATAGTGCTAGTTAAAATGCAGTAATAGCAGGATTCCTGTGTTAAGAAGTTTATTTGGAGGATTTGGGTGTGATAAATTAATTTCTTATTGTCTCAGTATTAAACATTTTGCATATTGTCCATAAATTCTAGCTAAACAGTGTGATTAAAGCTAGAACTTTGAATGAGTTATTAGAAGAAATATGGCTGCCTTTTAATTATTCTTTAGTACTTTTTTTTTAAAAAAAAAGTAGCATTTGAATTTTTTTGAGGGGAGAGCAGGGAAAAATTAAATGTCCACAGAATGACTGCATGACTGGAAGACTGTAACATGTGATATGATGACTAAACTGTATAGTAAACACATGAGTTTGTGTCTTGCTACTTGGGCAGCTTTAGCTTTTCAGTGTGATAAGGTGTGCAGGTGGGATTGTGCTGTTTTGTTTGAAGATTCAAGATGCTTCAGTCAAGTCGAGATGAAAATCCATTTTAAATTGTTGAGATTTTCTAGGCTGATGTAACTACTACCTGCTTAGTTAGCGTTCTTGGTTCAGCTTAGCGATGGAATTCCTTTGAAGGGGTTTGTTAGCTAAGTGGTAATGCTGGTCAAATTCTGCGTTTGGCTTAAAGAAATACAAATCTGCCTTGGTTTGGAGGCCTCTCACACAGGTGAATGTCAGTTCCATTTTCTTGTACAGCAAATAGCAAACTCTATACAGGCAGATGTAGTCCCTGTGTTTTCAACAACTCATTTGTGCTTCTGTTCTTTATTTCTACTGTTAAAAGTACCATCTAGTGAAGTAACTTGTTGACTGAAAAAATTCCAATACTGCTTTGACTTCCAGAGTGCTGCAGCTCAGTCCTGTGAGAACTAGTTGCGTATATACCAGTGATTTTCAGAGTGCATTGTATGTGTAACTTGTGTTGCCACAGCCACTCACATTGGTACAGGTACATTTTATTTATTTTTTTTAAACAAACCTGATTTCTACTTTTTGGAAGAGCACATGCAGAATGTCTTCTGGATCAGTTTTTAACTCGCCCAACCTCTGAATGTTTTGCCCTGGGACTTTCTAGGGTCTGGCATCGAGAGCTGGACGGTGTTCCGTAGCTCTGTTCCTTTTGAGGAAGCGGTGCTGGAGACGTGCTGCCTTCTGTGCACGAGTGCTGCGCAAGCACCATTTGTTGCTCTTTCTGGTGTTTGTGGGCTTGGTGTTTTTTCCTCTCCGTGTTGCGTACGCCACGTGCTACTGCAGAAAGTCACATGGGCTGCACAAGTGTGCTCCTTGGGCTGTTACCTGGAATTTCAATGGTTAGTGTTTATTTCGTGGTACCCTTAAGTTACAGTGGGCACTCTCGGAAGTAACTGCAACAGTGCTTATTCTTTGTTTGTCTGAATTCTGAAAGGGTGCTTTCGTTTTCAGGGCAGGAAAATCAGCTGGTAGCATTAATTCCATACAGTGATCAGAGACTGAGGCCAAGAAGAACGTAAGTTAATAGTTAATTGTTATACCTGAATCTACAGTTAATTCTTCTAGCTAAAATTCAGAGATTTAAAGAAGATAATGTTAAGAAGAATCAAGCAGAAATCACTGGGATCTTTTCTTGGATTCAGTAGTGAAAGAAACCTGCTTGTGATTAACATCGGTCTTAACTTTTAACTCTTAATGGTATTTATTAACAGGTGTGCATACCCTCATTACAGTATGTCTTACAGACCTGAGTAATACTGTGTGCTCTGATTGTTTATGGTAATTATGCAAATATCTGTCAATATCTGTGGCATCTTAAGATACATTTGCTTACATCACTTCAATGTTAAAGTCTGAGCAAATTGGTAATGCCCTTGGCCCACTACTACAAAACAAGTCACTTACAAATTCGTTTGTAAAGCTCTAAGCAGCCAACAAAATCGACAGATTAATCATTCTGATATAGTGTATTTTTGTAATTTTTGTTTTTATAGGCTCTTCTTAAAAGTTTAATTACAGTGCTCAGGACTTCCTGTTCTGACACTTTTTGGTGTGTTTTTTCCCCAATGTTTGGATGCTTCTGTAGTAAACAAAAATGAGTGCCAAGAAACAAAAAACCCTATAACTTCATATAATGCTATCCTGAATCATATATCTGTTATAATAGTAATACAGATTTGAAATGTACCGCTGTAGTGTTCTAATTTTGAGAAAATTGCAGCTGCAGTAGAGCCTTTTGTGTATGTATTTTTTTTTATTATCATACCCATGATTATTAGGTTATTGAACTTCCTGTTCCTTAGCAGGACTCTTAACGTTTTCCCTTTAATTTCTTTATGACAACAAACCCAGCGTAAGAGGTCTAAGAGCTTTGTTCTTACTTTGGGGTGTGTTGTGCAAGAATCTTGCAGAATAACAAAGGTTCTGCTATAAATAACTTTTAAGAGGAAGTGCTTATGTTTCAAAACAAGTGTGAATATTTACCCCCCGTTTTCTGATGTATATGCAAGAGTAACATCTCGGAGGCAGATGTGGAGTGCAGCATAGTTGTTTATTGGGTTTTTTTCTTCCCATTTTGGAAGCCAACAGAACCTAGAAACAGACTGAACTTGCACTGAGTAGTTATGCTCCTTCTCACTTAAAATAACGTGCTGCTGTTGTTTAACGTGCTTTTGACTCTGACGTGTTGGGTTTTTTTCCTCCAGAAAGCTCTACGTGACTGCTTCTGTAATTGTGTGTTTACTGCTTTCTGGGCTGGCCGTATTCTTCTTGTTTCCTCGCTCGATTGACGTTGAATACGTTGGTGTGAAGTCAGTATATGTCAATTACGAACAGGGTAGACGTATAATATATCTAAATATCACGGTAAGTCTAGCTCTTTGTTTGGGTGTTTGTAATGGGTGAATGCAACAAGAGATTTTACTGTGGCAGTTTAATATACGTAGAAATGGTAGTTTAGCTGGTGAGCTTAGTTAGTGCCTTAAGAAGTAACAAGCAGGTACGATGACCAGCCTGAAAAATGTAACTGGAGCTGCTGTTGCTGGTTCCTGTACCTGTAGCTAATAGAGGTGTAGCTGCAAGCTCCTCTGAGTCCTCTGTTTTCCTGGGAACAGTGACTGTGACATTCTCTGCCTTATTTCTGGAATGTGAGCGAAATGTAGTATGTATTGTAGAAATGTTATTAAATGCTGCCCTGATGTTATGCATCTGTCACAACTGGTTTTGAGGAAAAATGATTTCTCGTCTACCTTAAAACTTAGAGGAGTTCTTTCCACGTGCTTCTTGACTTGTTGGTAATGCAGTCAGTCAATACAGGATTTCCTAAAGACTTTTTGGTAGAGTTCCTTTGCTTTAAATAAAGCAAAGCAGCCATGAAAGAAAAGGGTCGTCCTGTGATAGCTAAATTTCCTGGATGGAATAATTGAGGATAGGAAGAAATGCAGTGTTTGCAGCGTGAGGTGGTCACTAAGGAAGTTGCACAGAAGTTTGTGCTGCTTAATACAGACGTAAAAACAAAAAGAGAAAGGGATTAAGCGGTGATCCCCTGCTCCCCTTCCTCCCAGTCCTTGAAGGAAAGAAAATATATTTACATAATTTCAGGGATCACTGTCTTGGGCACAAATTTCAAAATCTGTGTTTGTCAGGATACACAAAATGGATACATGTTAGTGTTCTCTGTTTGGTTTTTTTCAGAGTACTCTAAATATAACAAACAACAACTATTATTCTGTTGAAGTGGCAAATATCACAGCCCAGGTTCAGTTTTCGAAAACGGTTATTGGCAAAGCACGGCTAAACAACATCACCAACATTGGTCCTCTGGATATGAAACAGGTAAATGGGATAGGCTGTCATAGCTGAGTCAGTGTTAGTCTTCATGTAGAAATCTACTCATTTGTATTTTCATTGCTGCTTTTTTCTTTTTTCTTTTTCTTAGATTGACTATATGGTGCCTACAGTCATACAAGATGAAATGAGCTACATGTTGTAAGTGTACTCAAATCTAAATATCGCATGGGTCTTATTAAAAATTACAGTGCTGCCAAATTCCTTTTTTTTTTTCAGCAGAAATATGTTTGTAGAGATGCTGTGGCATTTTCTTTGTGCAAGTTTAAAAGTGCTGAGAAGTGGTTAAACCACGTTTGTCTTTGTTTCCTATAGGGGCTTGCCGTAGCTGGCCTTCAGCACTTTGAGCGGTATCTCTGTTCCAGTGATTTAGGCCTTGGCAATAGCTGGGAACTGCTCGTTTGTTTCCCTAGCAAATTCTCTAGTAACTTTCCCACAGATTTCTCTGTCAGTAGAGGGAATTTGTATTTAAATCTGTAAAATTAGGGGCTAATTAGTATTTCTTCTCTTCTGTGTGTGGGCAGTGGTAAGCCATGTTTACAGCCTGTCCTTTAAGTCATTTTATTCAAAGCTTCTGGAAGTTCCTTTGACCAACAGACAATCAGCTTGGTATGTCTGGGTAACAAAACCACGTGCTAGTTTTCTTGCGCTGAAATGCAGATGGAACAGAAAGAATTAACTATTGAGGCTTCAGTTCCGTGTGTTCAGTTCTGCTGGATGTTGGGAGAGAACCTTATAGCTTTGAAGTGTTGTCGTAAATTGAAATAAGTATGAAACAGCAAACTGAGCACTAACTGTGCCTAAGCAGAAAGTGATGTGCTTCCTTAACCTCTTAAAAGCCTGGGAGTATCAGCTCTGAATCCTGGGAACCTGCTCACTGCGTGAGGAATAAATTAACGTGGCCCTCATAGAACTCGTGCTAATACCTGCCTAGCCAGCGTGGCTGTGTTGGATCTGAACTGGCTTGAGGTTATGTTACAAGTTGTCTGTATTTTGCATTAGAAAACTACAATAACTAAGAATGTCTGGCATTATGGTCTAGCTAAAACTTGTTTTAAGCCTAGCAGGAAAAAAAAAAAATAATCAAAATATTTGTCATTACTAGAGATGGCAGTAGAAACCAACTTTTGACACTGAACTGATTTATTTTGCATTTTCATACAGTTTGGATCACCGGTGTTCGTTCACTGTTTAACACTTCTTCATGTGTTGTTTGGTGCCAGGGAAGAGAGTGACAGTGATGTGCAAACACTGTGGGTGGCGGTTGCGCAATCTTACTGTTCTCATCATGTTTTTCATTCCAGAGCTGATAAATTTGTGAAGAGCAATTGGCTTTAAGGAGGGAGGGTGGGGAAGTACACCCTTACATAGTGCTCTGTGCAACTGCTATCTAGGTGCACGTCAGAAAAAGTCTGAAAGGCTCTCTCACAAGAGATTAACAACTCTGACTTCAAAACCTTTGCAGATTGGTTAAAAGTTACTTTGCATAATGCAGAAGTAGATGAGTGCAAAAAAAAAAAAGGGACTTTCCTATGTTGATACTCTGTTAGCAAGAATAGCAAGCCCTGAAGGCTTTTTTTTTTTCCCAGGGAAATTGCTGCTTTGACATGAAAAGATGCTGAAGTTGGCACAACATTGATCTTTTTTGTTGTAAATTGTCCTTGCTGTGTATAAATTTCGCGTGAAGTGAAGCTGCAGCAGGTTAGGTCTATATGCCTTCGTAACGAAGTCTCCATCAGGGATGAAGTGACACTGGTGTGCTTTAGTGGGGTGGTTTAGGGTAACTTTACCAGAAGCTGGCTTCTGAAAGATGTAACAACCAGGATTTAACACAACAGGTTTGTTGCCAAGCATTACGTGTGAGCAAGCACGTGTGAACGTAATTCATGTGAAAGCAAGACTGTGTACGTAAAAGTAGACCGAGGTGAGTGTACAACACTGGCAGTATTTTTCAGTAAGTGTTTTAGTCACCATTGCTCATAGCTTCTATATACACAGAGAGCAGAATTTACAGCTGAAGCCAGTCTTCTTGCTTTTTAACTAATTACCTGTAAAAGCTTGAGGGAAGTCTAACAGTTGCCTTTTTTTTTTTTTCTTTTGCAGTGACTTCTGTACTTTAGCGTCTATCAAGGTGCACAACATAGTAGTGATGATGCAGTAAGTATGGAAGCAAAAGCCATGTTATTTTCATTGAAATATCACTCAGGGATACTTAATTCTGGAGTCTGTGCATCACAGATGAAGTAAAATCAGCCTGCTTTCTGGTGTAGCAGCTTCCTAACTCTGGAAACTGAACTGTGTCTTTTGACAGGTTCTGGTGGAGAACAGGCAGGACTATTGTTACAGTATCTGCTCTGCAGCTCAGCTGTAGCCACAGAGCTACCAAGGCCTCAGATACACAAACCCATTTCAAAGTGTCAGCCACAAAAGCGCCAAGATCTTTCTGATCTTGAAGCAGTTACAGGCTTTAGTACCGGCTTTGAGCCTGCTTTTAGTGACTGATTGCGTCAATAGCAGTGTGGTGGGTCTAGGGTTTTTAGGGGGCAGTTACAGGAAGGGAGCTGTAGACCAAGCATGGCTGTAGGCTCTGTCATCGTTTGTTTCCTCCTCACAAAGCAAAGTATTGAGTAAATCTTAGCTTTACCATCTTTAGGAAAAAAAGTCTGTGCTCAGGGAACTAAGAGTCTTTCGTGGAGAACATGTATAGCGGTAAACTAGTACTGCTTTCAACTTTATGTAAAACTTACTTTGCTCCAAAACTTACTTCTGGTCCAAAAGCCCTAGTAATGTAAAAAGGCTTTAGAATAGGAAGGTCAAATCTGTTACAAACTGAATCTCTTGTTTTGTTTTTTTAAGAGTGATGGTGACAACCTCTTACATCGGTCACTCTGAACAAATATCCCGCGAGAGATACCAGTATGTGGACTGTGGAGGAAACACAACCTACCAGCTGGGCCAGTCAGAGTATTTAAATGTCCTTCAACCTCCACAGTAGAAGCACCCGCGGGTTGGTGTGGAATGACTGCTGCTGGTGCTTGCAGAGATCCTTTGAACAGGACTGGGACTGCGGGAAGGGGAGAGTGTGCACGTGTAAAGCCGAGTGAACATGGTGACCTGTTCGCTTCAGATGTGAGGAGGGAAAAGGTACAAAATGTACATAGATGCACTTGTTCAATGTTGTGTTTTCCCCTTCTGTTTGCTTTCTCTTACTGTGAGCACTTCTGTGAGGTTGCGTGGTGGGAGGGCGAGGGGGAATATCAGATTCTTAAACTGAATTGGGACCTTTCCTTACAGCGTGGTACATGAACTTAGAGTAACTGTGTATGTCTGTGTTTAGGTGAAATGTCACTAATGAGCATTTTAGAAAAATCAATACTTGTAAATTTTGAGTTTATATTTCACTTGTTGATAGTTGACTGTTGATACTGGCAGTACTACTACTTGAGTAACAAGATTACTTTGAGATATCTGGGTGTGAAACTTCTGTTAGTAACCTAGTGGCGATGGTACTTTACTTTGGGATGTTCCTTTTTCGTTTGCTGTACATGAGCAGAGGTGACATGCAGCCTGTGAAAGCCAGGAAAGCTCTCTTGGATGACACTATATGCGAATGTGCAATTTCTAGAATCTGGCATATCTTCATATTCCCCCCCTGCTACCTCTGGGATATTATAAAAGAATGTACATTGTTAGATTTCAAGTTGGGTTTAAAGACTAAACAAAACACAACCCCCAGAATCATTACTGACACAGGAAAAATGCGAGACTGTAGCAAATGAATGTGTCGAAACAGTGACCAACACTTGACAGTGTCTTTCTTGCTTTGTTTTTTTAGTAAAATTCTGAGTACGGCTATTAAAATCAAGTTTGTGCGGTTGGAACTAGGTGGGAAACCGAGTGTGGGTTTGGGCAGCTTGGTGTAAATTTTCGGCATTTTTATTGTTTTAACATGCTCTGTATTTAAGCTACTTGTAAGTGTTAACGTGTTGGAGCGTGTGTTTTTAGTGTGCAGGCTTAGCAAGCAGTGCAGGAGTTACCTGAATCCCCAGAGCACTCACAGCCCACATCAAACTGAGGTAAGGGAGAAAAAAGCAATTCTTTCTGTAAGAGTAAATGTAGATGTAATCATGAGACTGACTTAAAACAAAGCTGTTCAATAGTTTTGGTAGGTTTGCTTGCACGGTGAGAATTTGCAGGGTGGTTACCAAAGGTGATGATTATAAATTTAGGGTCCAAATTTGCCTGACTTCTGAAGGTCGACTGTTCTAAGCGTTGGGTACCAAACTTTTTAATTACCTGGATCAGGATTGTTTTATTTCTAAATTAGGTAAGATGCAGCTGCAAGAAGGTACTGCTGAGACTGTTGCATTGTAGTGAATAATATATTTTTTAAAAAACACATGTTGAGGTTTTTATGCTGCCTATCTCCTAGAAATAAGCTACATAAAATTAATTAGCATTAAACACTATGGAAAAAGGCTGCTGAGTAAATTCTTGCCATGTAAATCTGTTAATGTTCCACTACTCCACAGAAGGTACATGTCGATGTTACTTTTTTTCTTCGTTGGCCCTTCCTAGGTGGACCTGATCGGGTGGGTGGGGTGAAGAATACTGATGGTGTAAGACTGATTTAAAAGGAATTAGGTAACTGTACAAAAAAAACCCCTCATCTGCTTGAATTGCTGTGAGCACTTATTCTGAATGTCCTTTTGGAACTTAAACTATCACTTCCATGTAACTGTTGAAGATGAAGATGTCAGCCTTTGGCTTTGGAGAACTTCCCGAACTGGAATAATCAATTCTGATGACTTACAGAATTAAAAGGACTTACTAATTACATTCTGAAAATCATTCTTGAATCTGGGCACTTAAAACTGGGCATTCCTTGTTACAGCTTGCAGTCCTAAGGAGAACTAGTGCACAGTTGGCTCCAGTCTTCCCACAGCATGGATGAGGTCCAGTCTCCTGGCTGATCAAATGTGTCCAGAAATTTGGTCTGAAAAGATAGAGGTGATCGCTGAAGATCAGGTTAGTGGTGAGCTGGCTGGGAGCAGAGTGGTGAACTCTTCTGTGTTCTCTATTGTAGAAGGCTCTTGTTTCGGAGAGGTTAAATCGTGTCAGATCTGAAGTCAGCCAGCAAGTGATACGGGAATTTTCTTCTAGGCCCAAGTATTTACATCTAGAGTGTTGGGTTGGTTTGGTTGGGGTTTGTTCTCTGGTGGTGGTAGTTGGTTGTTTTGTTTTGTTTTTAAAGGGGGGAAACAACTCTAGGCAGGTATTTATGTAAATTCAAAGCAGGCTTTTTTTTTCCTTCAGAGGATAAAAGGTAATCTAAAATAACCAGAATGGCACAATGATAAAATTGTTTGGTGACAATAGTCAGTGCTGCTTGAGCAAGCATGGCAGGGGGAGGTGACGCTGTTTACGCAGTGTTGAGGCTCACATTGACCTTTTAAACTTCGGCAGACATGCTGAGCAGAACCCATTTAACTCTGTGAATCTTAAGTTGCATGAAATATTTAGTATTGGCTAATTTAAAATAAAGAATTATGAGTGGAATTGTTCTTTCTGTGTGATGGATACAACTCTTAACGTTCGTCATCAGAGATATCCAACGGATGTAAGCTTTGACACCCTCAGTTTGTGGCAGACTTACAGAATGACTGAGAGTTCTCACCTTAAAAAATGCAAGGGTGAGGTAAAGATTGTGTTGATGAATTCTCGGATGAAGTCAGTTAAAGGAGAATCCAAAGCTTAAGGTTTTGCATCTGCTAGTTTGTCCTTGCAAAGCTGTGACTGTAGGACTAACCAAACGAGGCAGACATTGGAATTTAACAATTTTAATAAACATCTTGTCAGAGAATCAGGAAGCATCTGCCTGAACACTTAAGCTGTGAGAATAGATCCAAGGGACAGACCTGTAATTATTTCACACTTTTTTTTGATTTTAAAATTAAAAAGGTGAGCCTTTCAATTCACTGCCACTAGGTACAAATCTCTTCAGAAGGTCATCTTGAATTGTAATGCTTTTATTTTTTTCTGGTTTGTTTTCCTGTGTGTACAGTGGGTTCTGAAGAACAACTTCTGAAGTGATTCATATTTCACATGTAACTTCCCTATAATCTTCTAATACTGTCAGATACATACTGGCAAAGTAGTGGGTTTAGGGATTTATTTTTAGTATAAGCCTTTCCACTTGAATTCCTTGTAGCAGTTCCTGTACCAAAACCTGATGCACTTTAAAATGGAAGCTTTGTTAGTTATCCCTTAAAGCAGTGGTCTTGGTGTTGCACTGTAATGGCACAACTGAAAAAAACCAAGTTTAATGTACTCTGCGTAGAATAATATTTCAAAATTGTAACTTGACGTAAACTAATATGGAACACTTAACCTTGTAAGGATGTTGTCTAGTCAGACATTCTGACCAGGAGAACAGAATTATGTTACATTTTAAACATGATGGCTTAAAAATAAGTGAATTAATACAGCCACCAAACAAACTCAACAGATCCAACCACAAAATACCCACATGGAGAGATTTAAGGGAAGGTGTTTCTACTAAACCGTGTAGTAGCTGGCACCCTTGAATTCCTGGTGTGGCAAAAAGCCTGTATTCATTATTTGCTTACTTGATATTCAGAGGATAGTTTCTTAATTGTTAATCTTTTGTGAAGACAAGCATAGCTTTTTCCTGTGCGCGTAGAGCTTTGAAGTTCGTGCGTGACCTTGGTGTGACATTGTGCTGTTTATATTTTGCAGCCTGGTGCTGGCAGACTTCAGTACATGCCTTTGGTTGGCTTTGCTCCAAGTTGTCCTTGAAGTTCTGCAAGTGAATATTTATTTTTTTTTTTCATTGTAGCACGTTGCAAATGTAACTCTGGGCTGTTTAGCTTGTGGTGTGTAAAGCTAACCAGTCAGGTGCTGAATCTGAGTGCTCGAATTAAACTGGAGAGGTCTTCACCCATCTCACCGGAATGTTGTGCCCTCACGATGGGAAGGATAGTGTTTGGAGTAGCATGTGAAAGATTTCTAGAAAATGTTAAAAGTGTTATTTCTCATTCAGCATTTAAGTTGTCTTTTTTATTGGAGATTTCCTGGCTTTTTTTTGTTTTGTTTTGGTTTTTTTTATGTGGTCATCATGAGAGATGTAGCTGTCATTTTGCTTTTCTTCTTCCAAATCTCCAGTGAGATGTCTGTCTGTTCCCAGACAGCATCTTCTAAAATGAGTGACTTGTTTTCCGAGTTGGACAGCTACGTGAAGCTTACCGTCAGTTGGACTGGAATTTTGAGAGTTAGGAGATAAACCAGACCTGCAGTAATACTTGTGAGAGCTACATTTTATTACTTGCCTGCCTAACAAAATGCCACAACCCCCAGCAATGCTTCCAGCCTTACTCTGAAAGGGAAGGAGTAATGGAAGTGCAGCCTGAGTACCAGCCTGTTGGCCCTGACGTGCCAAAATATCTAGATTGGTTTTCTGGCTTGGAGGAAGGAGGAGGAATAAAACCCAACGAAAACCCGTTGAAAACAATTTGGGTATGGCAGCAACATCCAGTGTTTGTCTGCTTGAGCAGTCACCTTCCTGTTTGACCTGCAGCAGTCCGTGGGGGCAGATCGGTGCAGTTTGCTAGGCTGCCCTACAGCTTTTGCCATGTAAACCTGCTTTTCTGCGGTTGTCTGCAAGGAATCTGTACCGTTCAGGTTAGCCCTGGGCCCAGCAGCACGGTTTCGGGGCTGTTGGGTGACGGCAGCACCCTGACCCCCCTTCTCTCCTTTGCAACCAACCATCTGAAGGGTCCTACAGCCTGGATGCGCTCATCTGGGTACTGAAACTGCTTTTGCTTTGCATGGGCAGGGATATTTCGTGCCAGACATGCCGAGTATATTACGGTGCCTGAATATTTTGGATCTGACTGTCAGTGATTTAGGGGTTTTTTTTGGTTTTTTTTTGTTCTAAGGAAGCAAATATAACCACTGTTAACATCAACTGTACAGAGTGTGCATATAGTAGCTTGAGATATGTATAGAAATACTAATGAGTGATAACTATTTTTGTAACTTAAGGATTGTAAACTGTTGTTCTTGTAACTGTGTAGCAAACAATCTATCAACTTCAGCATGATAAGCACTGTATCAGCCGAGGTGTTCGGGAATGGCTTGTAGGACACAGCAGCTGTCTTAATGTAAGTTAACTGGGGCAAGGGATCTTGTTATGTAGAGGTTCAAAATCTGGAGTTAACTTCATTATGAGTATGTTTCCAGATGGGATTGTTTGACTCAAAGAAGGATATTAAATTTTCTAATAAAAAAAGCTTGAGTCGTGTATCTCTTTTAAAACTGACTTAATGCTTTTCTCTCCTCCTTTGCTATTTCCCACAAGTTTTTCCCCTCTCTCTCCTTTTTGCTACAAGCTTTCATGTATTTTTTTTAATGGTATGA